AAGGTCAAGTTAATATTAATGGGAAAAAAAAGAAGGAAGAAAAAGAAAATAAAAATCTAAACTATAGGACATTGGTCTGTTTGGGAATTATAGCAAATTACCTGTGGTCTACATGAGTCCCTTGGGTGGGAGCACATGAGTATACCCAAAATAGGGGTGTCGAGGGCTGACTCTGGGTATTGAGATATAAAGAAAATGCTGGAAAATAAAAGTATCATAATTGTGGAGGCATGGAGGTGGGGGGAGCAGTTACAGAGAAAGAGAAAAGTCAGTTAAATAGCATCCCTCTTCCAATCCTGGCTTCGCCCCACTAAATTCTTTAGAGCTGGATCTATATAGCCTTCAAAAGATAGAGAAGAATTACATTCATTATATTTCATTTTTCATCAAATTCTCTAAAGTATTGAAGAACTGAATGTAATATCTGATTCAATAATCAAGAGAAGAGGAAGCAATTTTCAACAAAGCCATCCTCCATGGGAAAAGAAACATACTTGAGACAATATAAGAAGGCTTTCAACTCAGTGGGACGAGAACGTGAAAGCACTTCATGGAAGCTCATTGTAGCTTGTGCACAGTTTGTCTGCCAAGAAATGCTCATTCAACATAGGGAAATAAATTCCCACTCACTAATAAACACAGTCAAATGCAAAGTTGCTTTACAAAGTCAAAATCTATAAAATGTCTCATAAGTGGTTTATGCCTTAACGTACTTTCTCAAATTAGATTTCAGCACAAGCCCTTTTTAGTTATTCTATTCTTTTCTTTGACTTCGGTTGTTCATGGCATGATCACGTGTTCCTCAAATTATTCATATTTCCATGGGAGAAGATCATAAATCTCCATCCACTCAGATCATGCAGTGTGGAGATATTTAATTTTGCACATATGGATAAACCGGAAGCAAGAAGATCAATTACTAGTAGTGTTAACCATCAGCACACAATGTCCCTGTCAGCCAAGGCTCAAGTGTCATCTCTTGACCTGGACATTGACCCAGGAGTCAGGAAAATAACTCAGTGGTTGTATTTTCCAATAATGTACTAGAGACCTATGACAAGCTCACAGCTGAGTGGTAAAGCACTTCTTAACTCACAGGACCATCAAACAGGATTAAGTGCTTTGAAATCCATGGATAACAGGTGCTCTAAGGACTGAAGAGCTCACCAGGTCACCTCTTTCCCTCTGGGTCACTCACCTCCTTGCCCCTCGCGTTAGGAGTATATTGATGAGAGAGAGGAATGACAGAAGATGCCCATGGCAGCACAAAGTGATGTAAGGGAAGCCTATCAATTTCTCACATGCAGATTTTATGCTGTGATGCTAAAAATTCTATAATGATCTTTAAAAACTTTGATGCATCTTATCATTTGCTGCAATTTTAAAATCCTTAGAAGATTCTCATCAGATAATAAAATTTGGTCTTACAGACAGTTATGGATTTGCTTTCACATTAAAATTGCTCCTAATAACATGTTATTAGCCAATTTAGGAAGATTTAAAAAAATAATTTGATGAAGTATAATCATCCAATAAGATAACAGTACATCCAAATAAGGATTTAAAAATACTGAAGATGATCTATAAATAGCATCTCAACGAGGAAAAAACCAGTTTAGAAACTCAGCAAATGGTACAACATTAGTTAATAGAAGTTCACTGATTTACAAAACTGAATTACTTGAAAATCCATGAAAAGTTATTAAATAATCCAACTTTTTAATTTTAAAAAGACTATCAAAGATTTTCTAGAAATGAAACATGATAGTAAAATATGATTCCATTTGAAAAAATTGCTTCACTAATTTTAGAAACTCATGCTTATTTGGCATGGTAAAACAAGATATGCCTGCACTGTTGTCCATTCATCTCCCTACGTGTACAGTCTACTAAATGTATTTCAAAATGTATTTTTTAACCCTTATAATTCTTTTACAAGGAATTTTTGTTTCCCTCCCCCTTTTTTCTCCCTCACATTCTAAAGAGGTCTCTAAAGTTCATTTTCAAAACCTCTACGTTACGGGATGACTCCACCGGGCTGTCCACCACTCGGACTGACTTGGGTTTTGTTGAAAATAGTGGTTCATTGGATACTCATTTTCCTCATAGGCATCATAAGAAAGAAGAAAGCAAAGAAAAGATTGTGATCTAGTAAAATATCTTTTGTCCTGTTAGTTTATTTTCCCTTAAACAAAATATAGAAATAATGTGGTATAGTAAAATAGTTTGCACATTGTTGGATTTTTTTTGAACACATCAAAAAGGCACAGCAAACCTTTGCAAAAAAAGACATATGACCTTTCCATCTCATTATAAAATTAATTTGTATTCTTTGTAGGAAGGAAAATACAAGGGCAGAAATCACCTAAGCACAATATCTAACTGTGGGAATAAATGTCTTTAAATGTTAGCCAAACTGATTTACATATTTTTCTCTAAATTTAGCTGAAAGGAAAAGTATATAATTCCAACCTGGCCTTGAAGCACAGACATAATGTGCAATGGGCAGCAAAAGCAACCGAGAAATTCTGACCTACAAGGAATAGAAAGGCTGTACAACGCATCCAGCGTGGTGAAGAATGTTGTGGGAACCCGCCGCTCCTAGTAGCGCAAATCTGTATATTTATTGATGTTGCTTCTCTCTGGCCGCTACTTGGCTTTTAGCCAGGCCCCAGGGTGGTTCAAAGGCTGTCTCCATTCTCCACTCCGAAGGTTGTAGAAAAGCAAGAAGAAAGCTCAGCTTAACTTTGCATCTCCTTGTTTACAGTAATGACAATTGAAAACTTTTGGAGATAAAGTTTATAGAAAAAGCAATATTTTTTTATTGCATCACATGAGTGTTTGAAAAAATGTAAAGAGTTTTGGTGAGCTAATATATAACTGTAAAAATCATGTTTTAAAGTTAGCCAAACCGATTTATGTATTTTTCTCAGAATTTACCTAAAAACATGTGTATTTATGCAACTTGGTTACAAAACTCAGAAACAATGTGCAATGGGCAGGAAGAATAAATGGAGAAGTCAGTACCAAGGAACCAAAAGGAATCAAATTCTACAAAACACTCAGATATTTGCCAACATGTAGGAAAAATAAACATACCCTTGCCTTATTTTGAACCGAATCATTCACTTTATATTCAGATTTTGTTTTCTTGATAAATAAAAAGCTCTTGAACGTTTCTGTAACTGTTTTCTGTTTGTTTGTTTACTGTATATTGAAGTAAGTTCCACTGCTTTATTAGAATTAAACAGACCTTGGATATAAGTGGAAGAATGAACTCATCTTTACCAAACATTTATTAAGAATGCCCTGAGTGGTACCCGTTACAGTACACCCCAAAGGTATATTTTGCTTTGTGCAGTGAAGCCTTCCTGGAAAGCACTGTGTCAGCCCATAAATTCCTTCCTCCAAGCCATCCCCATCTCCTGCCAGCCAAAATCATTGCTGCTAAATGGATGTGCCCGAAGTGAACTTTTGGTCCTGTCCCTCCCTCTCTCAAAGTCAGTCCCTGGCTCCCCACTGCCTGCTTACCAAATGCTAGACACTAGGCTTATTACTTGGAATGCATAAGTTTCTTTAATCTTTATAACAACTCCAGCAGATCACACTGATATTATCTTCATTTTATTGAAGAATATAAATAATTTGCATAGAGTCATATAACCAGTAAGTGGCAGAAAGGATTGCTAACCAGGACTAGCAGACTTCAAAGTCTGTGCATTTAACTATCACTCCAAAGTTTTTCCAATGTGCCAGAACCTGCTTCTCTAAATTTATCTCCCAAGATGCCTTTACATAAGCTCTATCCTCCAGCAAGATCGGTTTGTCTGCTGCGTAACTCTTAGCCCAGGACTATACTGGCTGACTCTCAGTTAACGCTGTTAGCTTCCATCGAACAGCACTTGTGACTAGAAAACGCCATCATGCTAAAGCTTTAAAAACTCTCCCAATTTTCCTATTGATTACAATGTGCCAGTTAGGCATAAATGAGAAAAGAAAACTTTCTTCTTGACTGATACTTTTGTCTTCTTTGTAACATTCTTGAAAGATTATCTTAGAATCATAGACCTCTCTAAGAATGGAAAAGCTAGTTTTTTGCTCAACATTAAAGAGGTCCCCCAAGAAATAGTTATTTTATGGGAATATTTATTCAGCCTTTTTCTACCCCCTGAAATGTTATGTTACACATTCAACATAATAATAAGATATTAATCAAAAATTAAATATTTTAGAGGTTTTATTTAAAAGTAGTCTTATTACAAGTTTCAATCTGAATTTATCTCTAGATAAAGAACTATAGTATTTTTATATCAAAATGGTTCAAGTTAAATATTATAAATTTGGACAAATTGTGACCTGATATCATAGTTAGAAAAGAGTTGTCATTTTTTAAAGAATTCAACAGTTTAAGAAAATTGACTCCAAACACCATAATACAAAATATTTAAACACTAAGTGAATTTCTTTAAACCCTATTAACAAACTGAATGTGAATGAAAGACTATGGTTGAGTAAGTGCAATCTGAGAAAATGATGGTCATGGTCCATATGTTGGGACTAAAATAATGATATTAGCTAACATTTACTGTGCACTTACTCTGTGCTCAGTTTATATGAATTATCTCAACTATAATAAAACCTTTTACAAGAGGTGTTATTGCAACCATTATTGTAATGCATGGGTGTAATTGTTATTATTCCCATTTTACAGATGAATACACTTAGATAGAAAGAGCTAAGTAGCTTGCCCAAAGTGACAAAACTAGTAAGAGGTGAGATTCAAACCCAGATACCCTGAATGCAGAGCCTATGCCCTGAACACAGGGCTAGAGTGACTACCCCTCCGTGTGTGCTTTGAATTATATGGCCACATCCAAAGACCTCAGGCATGAGATGCTGGTTCAATCTCTATTCCACTATTGAAATTTGAAGAAAGGGCATCATGTTAACTCCTTGCATTCAATTCTTGTGGTTGCTGGAACAAAGTACCACAAAGTAGATGTCTAAAAAAAAATAAATAAATTTATTCTTTCATAGTTCTGTAGGCTTGAAATCCAAAATCAGTATCATTGGTCTGAAATCAAGGTGTCAAGGTCATGCTCCCTCTGGTGGGGTGAATCTGTTCCTTGCCTCTTCTTGCTTTTGGTGGCTGCCAGCATTCCTTGACTTGTGTCTGCATCACTCCATTCTTCAAGGCCAGTATCTTCAAATCTCTCTTTGCTCCATCTTCACATCACCTTCTCCTCTGTTTTTGTGTGTGTCTTCTCTGTGTCAAATTTCCCTCTGCCTCTCTTTTATAAGGGCACTTGATTGCATTTAAGATCCATCCAGTAATTCAGGATAACCTCTCCATCTCAAGATCTTTTCCACATAAGATAACATTCACAGGCTTCAAGGGTTAGGACTTGATAACTTTGGGACCATTATCAGCTTACTAGACCACCCATCCGTAAACGTAGTGCCACCTGTATGTGAGAGACACATGGCAGAAGGACAAAACATCAAAGAATTTGTTCAAGTAAGAAAGTTTGAGAATCTCTTGTAGAGTCTGTGCTCCTTCCGCAGTTTGTCTCATGCCTCCTACATCTGCATTTGTACCTCCTATCACTAGGCCTGAAGCAAATTACAAGACCTGGTGCTCATTTGGGTGATCAAATCATCATAGAGATTAACAAACAGTCATCATTTTTTCTATGGTACTATGTAAATAAAAGGTAAGATTTCCAGGTAAAATTGTGACTTAAAAACAGGATCATTTACAACAATGTGCCATTTGCCATTTGCAACAACATGGATGGACATTGAGGGCATTATGTTGAATCTAAAAAAAAAAAAAAACCCAACAAAAAACCATACTCCTAGATACATCAGATTGGTGGTTGCCAGAGATGCGGGGTGGGGGTAGGCCAAATGAGTGAATGGAGTCAACATGTTCAAACTTCCAGTTATAAAATAAATAAGTCCTGGGGATGTAATGTACAGCATGGCAACCATAGGTAACACTACTGGCTTGCATATTTGAAAGTCACCAAGAGAGTAGATCTTACAATTTCTCATCACAAGAAAAAAAAGTTCTGTGATTATGTATGGTGACAGACGTAACTAGACTTATGGTGGTGGTGATTTTGCAATACATACAAATATCAAATCAATAAGCTGTAACCCGAAACTAACATAATGCTGTATATCAATTACACCTCAATTTTAATAAATTACCAAAAAAAAAGACATTCAAAAGATAAACAACAAAAGCATGTCAACATTTGGCTAAAGAAAACCCAGGTCATTTAGTACATGATGTCCTACTCTGTCTGTCTCAGGTTGCAGGGGCAGTGGCCTTGTTAGTATAATAATTTTGGCATTTAGATAAAGTAACTGCATGGCGAAGGGAAAGAAAACTTAGGATCCTGGCAGATAAAGAGTTGAGATATGTTGTCAAGACTGAGAATACCACATCCTCATTGAAAGAGTAATCTAGAAAAAAATCACCCAATAGCACAGGAACGTAACAAAGAAACTTGATCCCAGTAATTCTAACCATAGGATTCCACCTTAAATGATCTTGGGGCTTAAATTCCTATAAATGACATGGCATGGAAATTCCCACATGGCCTGCTGATACTTCTGGGACATATGACAGAAATGAACAAGCCCATACCACAGAAATATTTCCTAAGGATAACCACACACACACACACAAGCCTCACTGAAGATAAGCAAGCTAAACTAACAAAACACACAGAAATCTCTCAGTACTGAGGCACAGTTATCAATACAATGAACAGGAGGATTAGATTCCAGGAATTGCAGAAAATAGAACAGTAACAGTATGATAGAGACTGAATAAAATGAAAAATCTTTAAAGAGATTAAAGCATAAAGAGGAAACATTGCATGATTCCATATAAAAGAACAAGTGTATTTAAAAAAGAATGAAATAAAATTGTCCTGGTTTTCAGAAACTGAAATATGGAGTTATGTTAGTAAAGAATGTTGCTCATTGGGTTAAACAGCATGTTAGAAGCAGCTGAAATGCAAGTTAATTATCTGGAAAATAATCTGTGAAAATTACCTGGAATGCACAAAGATAACAAAAGAAATTTAAAAAAGAAAATGGTAAAGTTAAGAGGCATAAAGAATAGAATTATGAGTTCTAACAAATCTTTAAGAGGAGTTTCAGTATAAAACAATAGAGAAAATGGAAAGAAGCATATTAAAGTAATAAAGACTGAGAAATTCCCAGGATGGTTGGAAGAAAGGACAATGAGTTTCCTTCAAGAAAATAAAAATGAATCCACATCAGAACCCACTGCACTAAAACTTTAAAACAAAAACCAAGGGAAAAAAAACCTCCAAAGAAACAATAGAGATAATACATATTACCAGTGAAAGAATTACAGTAAGACTCCCAGCAAGCACCGATAAAACTCATGAATCAACAGAACTGTATATTCAAAGTCCTGAGATAAAATGAATGTCAACACAAATTTCAATACCCAACCAAACTATCACCCAAAGGTGATGATAAAATACATACATTTTTAGAAAAATATAGATAATAAATTATATCATTAACAGACTTGTTAAGCCAAGTATTTAAGTTAAAATTTAATGCATAATCACTAAAATAACAGCAACATCATGTTTAAATTTCAACTCTGTAGACAGAGATAATAAGGGAAAAAGAAATTTTATCAGTCTAATAAAGGGCAATCAAGGAGAATAAAATGTAGCAAAATTGTACCTTCAAAAATAAAATATAATAAAGCGAAAGAATTATGAAAATGGGAAAAGTTCACATCATGATGGGAAATGTTAACACAATTCTCTCTGTAATTAAAAAAACAAGAAGGCAAAAAATTAGTAAAGATATGAAAATTTTGAATAAAATAATAATTAATAAGCACACTCTAATAGATCTAAATAGTACTCAGCATTCAACAATGAACCAATACCTACTCTTTCATGTACAAATGACACACTTCTAAATATTGATCACATACCACATCAAATAGCCCAACCACAAAATTCCTTAGAAACAATAGGATACACACCATGTCTCTGTATATAATGAAATTAAATTGAAATCTAAACTTAAAAAATACAAAAAAGTAAACAAATGTAAATTTTAAAAGATATTTTCAGATAACACATAGTTCAAGGTAGAAATCATAAAGAATATTTAAAAATACATAACAGTGAATAATAATGGAAATATTACTTAAACTTTTGGGAAGAAGCTCCATTCCTATTTAGAGGGAAATATATATCTTTAAATAATAATATTAGAAAAGAAATGCTGAAAGGGAAAAAGATTGAACATTAGTGACCTAAGTGTTCACCACTTGAAAGTTAAAAAAAAAAAGTCAAAGAAGTAAAAGAAACAAAATTATAAAACATAAACAAACATTAATGAAATGAAAAAAAAAAAGAAATAGAGAAGTTAAACAAAATCTATGGCCAGTTCCTTGAAGGAAAAACCTCATATCTATCTGGAAGAAGGTATTTGCAATTCATACCAATAACAATAGATTGAAATCTGAAATATAATCTAAATATACTGCAAATCAATAAGAAAATGAACAAAGCATATATACAGACAAATCACCAAGGAGAAATCCAGAGCAACCAAACAAAATATACACTTGGCTAAAAAAAAAAAAAAAGGAAGAAGAAAAATTTGTTTGAGCCTCATTTATAATTTAAAAAGAAATCTAAAATAAGAGAACAAAATGCCAAGGAACACAGGGCTGAAAGAGTAACCACTAGATTTGAAAATCTGGAAGCTAAGGATGATCTTTATCAGAGAATCAGTGAGAGTAAAATCAATTTGCAATACACTGAGAAACAAATGTGAAGGAAACGGAGATAGAATAACGACTTCCTTAAAAAGCTTAGATGATCCAAGAAGAGGAGAGATGTAGTAACAGCTGAAGTTGGGTACCTACTCAAAGTAGGTTGATTTATTAATTTTTTCACTTGATTGTTTTATCGTGACTGAACCCTGAGCTTGTTATCAAGCTGAGAAGGAGCCACAAGAGAGGGAAAAATCCTTAAAGTAAGAGAGGAAATAAATGATGGAGCAATGCTCTGGAGAAAGCAATCAATTGCACCAATGCAAAGTTTAGCCTGAAGCAAAAGGGTAACAAGAATGCCTTAATTTTTAAATTAACGTGTACAGGAGGACACTAGACATGCATGAAGTTGAGGATATTCAGTAATATAAGAAAGCAACATAAGAGGCAGGGAGTCTAACATTAAGTGAAGGAGAAATGATTTAGATGTAACATTGTGGAGATCTAAGCAAATGTCAGCCAACAACCATATTTTATTCATGCAAAAAATACATTATACAAAGCTAAATGAAACACGGGTTATCACGCCCTTAAGGAGCTCACAGTCTACCAGAAAAAAGGGAGACCTGTTCACACACAAGCCAGGATAACTAAAATGTCATTCATCCCTGCTTTCTCAATATAGACATATTATTTTGTTCTTCTCCCCTTTCAATTTCTAAGATCACACAGCATTCTCTCATTCTCTTGCTTCCCAATTCTCTAAAGGGATACATGAAAGCAGGAATGTTTACCAAAGTACCAACATTAAGCTCGGGCTCCCTTCCACAGCTTAGCACTGTGGTCTAGACAGCAGCTCCTCCAGACCTGTGGAATGATTTGGGCTAAACGCATGAAAGAGATGAGAAGAAGGAGAAATCATTAAACTCCCGCTATTTCTTCTACTCCCGTACCCAAGCACACTTCACCCCCACTCCCTAACGTGAAACTGACTTTTATCACACACCCAAAATATTTTAAAGACGGACAAAATCAATCTCATTGACCATTTCTTAAAATCCTGTCCATGAACATATAACATTGAAAGTTATGTTTCAGGAAGGTAGAAGTTTCAAATATTTATCCTCTAACTTCATTGAAGATTATCTCAATGCTGATTAAAACTTTCATCTTTTTGATTTATTTGAAAATATTCTACCAAACAAGGCAAGATGGTCAACGTTTATTTTAAATGCAATTTGTATTGGTCTTTAGTTTTCGGCAATAAATGTAGAAATCAATGAAATTATTACCAGTGGTGATAAGAACAGTGTGTGCTTTTCTAACACAGCAATGTTCTCCCACGCATGTTGCTAAAGGAAGCAAATTTGTCACATATTGTATGTCTTTCATTTTAATTTCTCAGAATTAAAATCATTTACCCAAACTCCAAAGAGACCGTAATATACCTAAGGATAATTACAGCTTTCTTTCTATATTTAATTATGTTTTCTTCTAAAGAATAAGCATCATTAATCAATTAACTTCATTTTATGGTTGGCACATTACACAGAATCACTGAAGCAGAAGAAAATGTATAAAGAGTAAAATAAAAAGCAGAGCACACAGTCCTCAGACATGCCACATCATTTGCTCCCTTTCACTTTTAAAAATCTCTTCCACATTTCATTA